ATCACTAACTTTATCTTGCAATTTCATGTCTTTATATGTTTTGGCCTTGGGATCAGATACTCGAATATTAAAAGAAACATTTTTAAACTCTTCTGGAAAGTGCCACTGAATTTTCGCTTTTACATAATCAATAGATTCTTTTTCGAATATGACAAGACCATACCTAAGATAGTTGGTTGGAAATTCAAAAAATCCATGGATAGGGATAACAAGAAACTCGATAATAAATTGTTTGCCCTTGTTTCCCGAATCTATGAGAGGATCATAATCCTAAGTAATACATTATTAGTAAAGACCAAGTATGAAATATGTGGAAGAGTTTTACTATATCATATATCTACCATTTTTTCTTCCGATATGAATAAAACGAAGGCATGATTTCGCTCATATATATATATGTTTTGAGTTGGGGATTCATATCTTTGCTATCACATATACATCATTTTTTTGCCGATCATGCCAGCAGGTAATTCACATGTTTTTCCCTTATCAAAAATTTCATTTTGGATCGCCAGGTCCGAGATATACAATTCCGCGATAGACAATTCCGATATCTACGCACGCTAAAGAAATTAGTAAAGAAACGATTCACAAAGCCATTCTTCACTATTTTGGGAAAGCACTCGAGGAATGGTTCAATCACTACAAAAAACAATCCTAAACATTTGGCTCAAGGGTTAGTCAATAATGAGGTTAGAATTCAACTTCCATCAGTTAGCCAGAGCTTGCTTCGAAAAATGAAAGAGCACGCCCAAAAGATTTATGATTTATTTATGAGATTGGGGTCAATAAGATCAAGCGAATTCAGAGCTTTACAGCAGTAACCTTATCAGAATCCGTGTACTCCCTCTATAACAACTCTCAAGATACTGGGCATGAATCAGGGAGTGTATGAAGCAGCAGCAAGAAGACAAGGTTGGATAGTTTATTGAACAGACTAAGATAAGAGATACATTTCTCATTTCCTCTTTTATTTACTATGCTAACCCTCCCCTATTACTAATTACCAATACGATTCTATCTTAATGACTACATTTTTCATGCAATGATAATACTAACATTCTTATGACTACATTTTTCATGCAGCGATAATACTGATTATTAATTTAATTACGCATAACAGATAACACTAATAATGAAAGTACTACTATGTGCCTGACATATTAATTATTGTATGCTGAGTTGTCTTTTGTATCGCTGGTTATTATTATTTTTGGCAAAAGTGATCAGCGTAACAATTCGTCACGCATACATAATTTTTATTCACATAAGAAAAAATATCTCAGATTGTCATATCTCCTAATATACCTGCAATAGGTTTATCATATATTTCACTCGCAAATATGCCGAATATACAAAACTTATCTAATAACCCAATTCGCACAAAAAATGAATTGCGATATTCATTAGTATATAGTTATTAAATCAAATAGATCTAAATCCCTAAATATGATATAA